TGGCCCTACCCTTTATGAATTCCATGACTTAATTTGTCCGTTCTTTTTTTTTTAATTATTTTAACTTATATTCACGTTATGTAAAAGTCTGAAATGGAAATTTACATTTTTTGGAATTTATGTTTTTTTTCTCCTTAATGATCATTATGCTTTCCTAAATATATGTGCAACATAAAACATTAATCCCATTAAGACAAACCAAAAAATATTGATCAATTGGGCAAACAATAATATTTTTTTAACAACGTCACTATTTTTTAAGACATTTTTCTGATTATATATACATAGTTATGCACTATATTTTAATTCTGTAAAAATCAATTTTATTCATTATTTAAGTATATTTGTTAGATTATATGTAAATATTAAAGTTTTATATTGGGAGAAGCTTTATGTTTGTCTACCAAAAGGGGAGAACAAAAAAATAACATAAAATCTTCTAAAATTTAAAGATAAAGCTAAATACAAACCTATTTGTGTTGGACAAAAATAAACAGTCATTTGAATAACTATATATTTCTATATTTTTAGAAAATAAATTGATTACACTACAAAATCGTTTTTGATCCAATAAAGATAAATATTTTAAAATTTTAAAAATATCATTTCTAAAATTGTTCCACGGATGAAAAAATAAAAAAAAACTTGGATTGAAAAAATATTAAATTTGAAAACCAAATTTTTTTAAATTATATTAATTAAATTTGAGTTAAACATGAAAATAATAAAAATTATAATGAAAATGAACTATAAAAAATCGATTAAAAAAATGTAAAGCAGTCCATAATCAATATAAAAAAATAGACATAATTTAGAAAAAACTAAATAAAAATAATATAAACGGAACCTTATATATATATATGCACCTAGATTTAGGCAGAAAATTGGTGTGACCACTTTGTTTGGGAGCATAGGGTGGAGTCGTTTTGTTCAAACCTAACAAAATAACCCAAAAACACACACTCTTCATATAATGAAACAGATGCGTATATATATATACACACACAATTCGAATATGTAATCACCATTTTTTCTTACAATTTTACAATATTGACGTTGATAACTATATGTATACACTAAATGAATAAACCGGGATCTTAACGATTTGTGAACTAATCTATCCAAATTTATACATTTATATTGTATATTGCAGTATAAATAAAATAAATTAATAAATAAAAACAGGAGGAAATAGAGAACTAAAAAATGACAAACGTCATTACCTTTGAAGAAAGAAAGACCCCATCGGTTGGCCTACCGAAATTAAAGTCGACAAGTCAAATCTACTCTCATATAATATCTCCATCTACCATTTATTTATTTATTTATTTATTTTCTTGTATCCTATACCACTACTCATGTTTATAGAGATACAATGGTTAGTTATATATATATACGCCCGTAATTGTGTATAAATACTCATCATTTACATTGCTATCTACGATATTTTCATTCACGTATCTAAACAATTTCAAAATTATATACGTAATAGTTTTTTTTTTTGGTATGGACGTGATATATGTATAGCCCAAATACTAGATAGTGTATAGTAACTAGTACGTATATAATTCAACCAAAAAAAAAATATTACGTATATAATTATGTATATTATAGATGTGCTATAAGGATATCTGTATATGTATATATGTAATATGTATAAACATGAAGCAATGTAAATTGGTCAAGTTGCGTGTTGCCGTGCACGAGAATATATATATTTTTATAATTAGGATGGTTTCCGTGCATTCGGTCCGATTATATCCACAATACATCCGGATCCACCCTTTGTATATAAATCATTTTGGTCCAGAAATTACATCCTCTCAATCAATGGAATCGAAGTCAAGACCTTGAAGATAACTTTGTCACATCTCACACACTAGACCACACACTAGACCACCAGCTGTTGGATTGTGCAGGAGAATATATATATATATATATGGGATTAGTGTATATGATCACTCATGGAAATATTTGAGATTTAAAGTACTTTTTATTCATATATAATCAAATAAATACTATATATATATATATAGGGATTGGGATCTGAAGATAAAGTTTAGCAAATAGATAAGGATTGAAGAAGACATAAAGGCTTTTTGATAACGAAGGACTTACATTATATATATATGTATGTATGTATATGTGTGTGTGCGCGCGCGATGTGCATCATCGTTACCCCACGTTTTTTTTGGATTTTTTAATTTAAATTTTCGCTTTCCCCATTAATTTGGTAGACATTCCTATTTCTGTTATAGTAGGTAATAGCACAATGCATACATACACAATTACATGCATAAATACACAAATATATATTACGGATGATTTCTCATGTAATTCAGACAAATATTTGAGAAATAGGGTACATTACAATTTCTTATTTGAATTGTTTTTTATAATATCCTAAGAATAATTGTTTAATGGTAGTACTTGGACCTACTTGATATGAATTATGGAAATTAATAGATAATAATAACGATACAAATAAGAGTTATAAAAGGCATCATCTTTATTATTCTTTTAATACATACGTATGTGTTCTTAATTTGCCATGCAGAAGATTCATTGTAAAATAATGGTTAGGCCAACCGATGGGGTCTTTCTTTCTTCAAAGGTAATGACGTTTGTCATTTTTTAGTTCTGTATTTCCTCCTGTTTTTATTTATTAATTTATTTTCCTATATACTGCAATATACAATATAAATGTATAAATTTGGATAGATTAGTTCACAAATCGTTAAGATCCCGGTTTATTCATTTAGTGTATACATATAGTTATCAACGTCAATATTGTAAAATTGTAAGAAAAAATGGTGATTACATATTCGAATTGTGTGTGTATATATATATACGCATCTGTTTCATTATATGAAGAGTGTGTGTTTTTGGGTTATTTTGTTAGGTTTGAACAAAACGACTCCACCCTATGCTCCCAAACAAAGTGGTCACACCAATTTTCTGCCTAAATCTAGGTGCATATATATATATATATATGAGGTTCCGTTTATATTATTTTTATTTAGTTTTTTCTAAATTATGTCTATTTTTTTATATTGATTATGGACTGCTTTACATTTTTTTAATCGATTTTTTATAGTTCATTTTCATTATAATTTTTATTATTTTCATGTTTAACTCAAATTTAATTAATATAATTTAAAAAAATTTGGTTTTCAAATTTAATATTTTTTCAATCTAAGTTTTTTTTTATTTTTTCATCCGTGGAACAATTTTAGAAATGATATTTTTAAACTTGTAAAATATTTATCTTTATTGGATCAAAAACGATTTTGTAGTGTAATCAATTTATTTTCTAAAAATATAGAAATATATAGTTATTCAAATGACTGTTTATTTTTGTCCAACACAAATAGGTTAATTTATATGTATATATGTATATATATTCATATCCAAATGAATTATTTCTAATCAATCCATATTTATTTCAAAAGTATTATCTTTTATGTTTGAAAAATAAATGTTCTATGTTTTTAAAGGGGTGCATTTTGGAAGTACTATATATTTATAAATTTATGATTAAATATATAGTTTGGTTAAATAAGCATTGTAGCATGACGCAGGAATATGATGCAGAGAATAAAACAAAACACAAAAGAACAAATGAGTTAGTAGCAAAAGTATATATATATATAGCTCTAGAATTTAAAAAAAAAATGATTTATTTCATTTTTGTTCGAAGGTGAAACTTTAAAATAAAATAAAAAACTAGAAAACTGGAAAACAGATAAACGTATTAATTTCTAAATAGGCAAATATAAGCATTATTTTATAGGTTCATCGATCAAATGGATAAAATTATTTTATATTATCATAATTTTAAAACAATATTTTAAATTTCATTATAGAATAATCTATCTAAAAAATTAAGTTAATGATATCAAAAGCAATAAAAAATCATTAGTTATTCCATTTTTAAAAATATATACGACAACAAAAAGAAAAGCACCTAGAATTGTGTATGTTAAACAAAAAATATTCTCTACCAATATATTAATGATTCTACAAATAAAGAAAAAGATGTTTGTAAGATATTTTACTTTTAAAAGAAATAAAACTTTGAGAAAATAATTAATCCGTTATTCTTTTTTAAATTGAAAAAAAAAAGTAAATTAAAAGCGGAGGAACAAGAGAATAGATGATTTCACAAGGACATTTCATGGGCTTTGTCCGTCAAGGACAGACATTTAGCTTTTTTTGTTCATAAGCGAAGATCCAAAAATACCCTTAACTATTTTCTTAAATTTGTTACATATCTATATATTATTTAATATCTGACTATTGTATCTGTGTGTTGATACCTTAATGATTCTGATTTATCGTAGAGTTATAATATAACATAAAAGCTAAAACGATAATACCATAACATAAAAAAAATAAAATACATAAACATACACATGAATTGATAATAAAATGTTTTAAATATTTCGTTAACTCTATTTTAAATCATATGTAAGAGAATAACATGTGAATTTTAACGTATTATTAGTTTTTGTTAGAAGTTTGTTAATAGAGACATTAAAAATATGTTCTAAGATTGAAACATTAAATCATAAGAAAAAAATAGATATTAAAATAATTTTTCGTATGCATTTAGACACAAATAGAGATCCTGCCCCTGGACTGTTTTATCGTATATGTATTATGTATATATCAAACATGATGTCAACAATTATAATTCTTGAAAAACAAACAAATGGCCCAATTGAGGCCCAACTGAGGCCCAACTAGTGTTATATATATATATATATATAGATCCATAGATTCCATAGATTACCTTGTCAAATTTTATTCAAGTGGACGTTAATCAAGGAATTTAACTTATTAATCAAACACATAATCCGAATGAAAAAAAACGGACAAAAAAATACTAACACTAAAAATACAAAAAAAGGGGTAAACTGAAGTCTCGAACTTAAAGGTCTCTGCTCAAACTGGTTCAGGAGACGCTCATAACCTGGACGGACTGCAACATGTCCGAGACAGCGATGACCAGACCGCCCGGTCTGATCATTCCTCGAGCTTTGAGCAAAGAGAATGTCTTGTTGAGGTTGCTTTCCACGTCGTCCGAGAAGCTGAGACGGAAAGGGATGAGACCCCATTGTAGGTTTAGCCGTCTCCGGACAGAAGTGGAGGTCGTGAAGGCGAATATCGGGCAGTCCGGCCGGCATCGGGACAGGAGCGACGCCATATGTCCCGTCTTTGTGTACACGAAGATCGCGTCCACTCCTAGTTTGTTCGCTGCAAGTTTTCGATGTACAATGAGAATGATGGTAAGATCGGATACTCCGAGAAGATGTCAGAAGGAACGGAAAAGCCTCAAGCGAGGATATTACTAAGTAGGGGTGGATATCAGTCGGGTACCCGAGATTTTCGGATTCCCCGAACTTGAACCCGAACATTTTGGGTCTCACCGGATATTACCCGATTTCAGATTCATTTTGGTTGGTACCCAAAATTTGGATGCCAAGATAATTTTTTGGAGGAACTCGAAAATAAACACAAAGAAAGACTCAAGCGAGGATACTATTAACTAGAGGTGGACATGGATCAGGTATCCGAAGTTTTTGAGTTACCAAAATCCGAATCTGAATATCTCAGATCTCACAAGATATTGCCCGATTTCGGATCTTGGGTACTCGAAAGTTAGATACCATACAATTTTTTTGGGTATCGAATACCCAAACCCAAAATTTCGATTTTTTTTAAAGAAAAAGATGTAACATATATTATGAGTTAACTTAATAGTACGAAGTTACTGACCCATTTTGGCAGCAGAGTTGCAGATCTCTTCAGAGATTTTGTCTGAAAAGGTAGAGCCCAAGGCCTGAAGCTCCATGGCTTGATGGCGTTTCTCTTCCTCCCTCCACCATCCCTCTATCCTTAAACTGACACTTCTCAGAACGGCAAGCGACTTTTCCGGGTATTGTCCCATCGCTGATTCGCCCGACAGCATCAGAGCATCGCATCTCTGCCTTACCGCTTCAGACACATCTGCCACTTCCGCCCTGGTGGGAGTCGGGTACTCAATCATAGATTCTAGCAACTGAGAAGCAACGATGACCGGCTTGTTCAGCGCTCTGCAGAGCCGAACGATTCTCTGTTGAGCCGATGGGACCTGTTCCAGCGGAATCTGAGCTCCAAGGTCTCCTCTTGCAACCATGGCCCCATCCGATGCTCGAATGATTTCTTCCAAATTCGCCAGTGAATCGATACTCTCAATCTTTGCAATAACTCCAATGTCTCTGCATTACAAAGAATCATTGCATTTGATCCACCATCTCAAAAGCCGAGACCCAGTTCTGCATTCGGTAATCCGAAACAGAGATATATGTACTTACCCTCCACGGGACCGAGCAGTGAGGTAGCTTTTCAGATGGTTAATTACTTCAGCAGACTTGACAAAAGATACTGCAATGAAATCCACACCTTCTGAAATTCCGAAATCAATGTCCAGCCAGTCCTGAAAATTGAATGTATTAAGTATTCATTTGCAGTATATATGTGCACCCAATATTTCAAAGATCTTTCGACACCGAGTTCATACACAAAAAGGGCATTCAGATTTAAGACACTTTCAACTAAGAGCAAAATATCTTCTTTTATCCATACAACGAGAACATAGAGATCGGATACCTTGGAAGAAATCGTTGGAAGCATGGCATTACGTTCTCGTACAAGACTCCCGTCTCTCCAAAAGGTTAAGTTAGCCCGAGGAAGCAACAACCCGGGATCAGTGCAGAGGCACTTGACATCAGGACCGATTTTCTCTACCACTTCAAACCTCACCATTCCACCATCCACCAGAAGTTCATCCCCTACTTTTACATCTGCATAACAACAAACCTAATGAAATTGTTCCATATACACTCTCTCAATGTCCTCAATTAGACACCTAGACATCTATTAACAGTAAAGTGTAACTCATTGATTGTCACTGAGTCATTGAAATAATGTAGATCGAAAGCTAAAGCTCAAGGAAGCTAATACAGAGCTTCAAGTAGACTTATGCCCAATACAACATGAACTGACCGTTTCTTCTGCACAAAACAACAAATTCTCACTCTTAAGTCTTAACCATTGCATCTTAGTTTCCGCCATCTCTGAATCTACAGAAGTTAAACTACATTGTCGGATAGCTAACGGTAGCCCATATATTCATAAAGGCACACCAAAAATAGCAACTTCAACATATACATAAACCACCATAGATATACCTTCTGCGAAACCATCATAGTTCACACTGATGGTGCGTTCCGGCCGAGAAGAATCAGACGCTCTGACAGTAAATGTCCAAATCTCACCATCCTGCATCAAGACCATACAAACTCAAGCTCAAACCATCGGCCAGATTCGAAGTCGCAGAATGAATGAAGAAGAAAAACCTCTGCTTTAGCCGAAGCCGCGCCACCGAGATCGCCCATGTGAATCTCGCTGCCCTCAGTGTCCATCATGATTGCCACTGCAAACCCTTTCTCTTCGTTAAGCCTTCGGACATTGCGGATGACATCGCGGTGCCAATCGCGCGTGCCATGGCACATGTTGATGCGGGCCACGTTCATGCCGCCGACGGCGAGCGCCTCCAGCTGCTCGAACCCACAAGTCGCCGGTCCGATCGTGCAGATCAGCTTCGTCCTTCTCGTGCTTCGGAACCCATTCTCCTTAAGCTCCGCCTCGGTTACCGCATCCACTTCAATCCCCGCCGTATCCGCCGCCGGAACAACCGCGGACGATTTCCCCTCCGTCTTCACCGAGCCTTTTCCGTTTACGGAGAGAAGCATCCGCGACGACGATTCGAGATCCGGAGAATGCGACGAGGAGGCTCTAATGGCGGCGTATTTGGGGGCGGAGGCCGGAAATCGGCGGAAGGAGGAGGAGAACAGGCGGAGTTGAGTTCGTGGTTGCTGGAGATGGGTAAGGCCCGGAGTGCGTGAGTGAGTGAAGAACTGAAGAGACTGCGACATGGCTTACCGGAGAGTTAGAGTTCCGATACACCGGGAGTCCGTACAGTTTGGCGGGGGGGGGGGGGGGAAAGTGGCGGATATAAAGAGGCGGCGTTTAAGTTTTTTAAGTTTTTACTTCAATTTTTTTTTTACTGAATATCTCTATATAAATTTGTGTGTATTACATTGTTCTGATTTAATTTACCATTTTGCCATTCTCCCCGCATCGTGGAGACCGAGATCGCTAAGCAACGTCCGAGACTACAAAACCCCAAGAACACGACTCTTCAATCCGAAATTCGATCTCTTTTTCTCCGATTTCTTGGATTTTCGAGCTTCTGGATCTATCATCATCATCGCCACCGTCACTTCGAGCTGAATCCGGGTTTGTTCACAGATTCCCAGTCTATATTTCCTTTTTTGGATTCTTTCATAATTCCGTAAACCAGGGACATTCTTGAGTCGATTTGATCCGAATATGATGACGATTTATCCCGATTAGAACGAATCGGGATCATGTTCTTGAGGAGTTCTACATCGTGTCTATGCTGATGGGTCGGATCGAATTATATCTTAGGGTTTGATTGAAGAATCGATTTCGATGTCTCTGGAACGTTACCGATAAATTATGAATTTTGACGTTCTTCTTTTTTATTCTGATTAGGTTTGAGTTTACAAATAAACGATAATGGGAGCATTCGTATCGAGATTCTGGTTCATGCTCTTCCCAGCGACAGAGTATAAAATAGTGGTTGTGGGTTTGGATAATGCTGGTAAAACGACGACCCTCTACAAGCTCCATTTGGGTGAAGTTGTCACTACTCACCCTACTGTCGGAAGCAACGTCGAAGAGCTTGTCTACAAGAATATCCGTTTCGAGGTACCAAATCCGTGTTTCTTAATCTTGGGAGTTGAACTTTCGGGTTTTATTTTCGGATATAGAAGTTGTGATCTTTCCAGGACATGGATGTTGCTCTGTTTATGTTCCTGTCATGCCCAGTGTCATCAGAAGTTCGGTGTCCGAAAATCTTCGTATTTGTAGTTCATCTGCTTGTTTATCTTGAGCTCAAGCTTTCTTTTTTCATGGAGCCTTAGGTTAAAGCATCCGGGTTTCTCCTCGGTAGCTTTTAAAGCATGCAGCCTTGCAAGTTCTTGATGCACTTAGATACAACGGTGTTCAAGATATTGTGGGAGTTGAGTTAGTTTTGTGTGTTTGAAGGATTTCCCGGGCATAGATCAAAGATCTTAGTTTTTCAAAAGATTTGGTGGGCATATCTGCTCGAGATTGTCCCATGTTTCTCAATAATCGTCATATCTCTGTCTGAGTCCTAGGCTAAGAAATTTATTACTCAGTAAAATCGTAGTATATGGTTTCGGACAAGAGTAGAACATGATTTATATTCGGATACTGCTTGATCCAACTCTTTGTAATATATTTGCACTGGTGAGTCCATCGCTAAAAACTTATTCCTCGTGTAGAAAGCTACTCTGATTTCTGACTTTTGCCCATGAACAAAATGCAGTATTAAGCTAGATCTGATTTACATGTCGAAGAACTCTTTGCTGTGGCCTTATATTAAGATCACAGAATTCTACTACTTGAATGAGTTTCAAGTTTTGCATTTCTCATGATTTACCTCACTGAACAACGTTTCCTTCAGGTTTGGGATCTCGGTGGACAAGACAGGCTCAGAACATCATGGGCGACATACTACCGAGGAACACATGCTGTGATTGTGGTGATCGATAGCACAGACAGGGCCAGGATCTCCATCATGAAGGACGAACTCTTCAGGCTACTCGGGCATGATGATCTTCAGAGCTCGGTCATTCTCGTGTTTGCAAACAAACAGGATCTGAAAGATGCCATGACCCCAGCTGAGATAACTGATGCCCTTAATCTCCATAGCATCAAGAACCATGATTGGCACATCCAAGCAAGCTGTGCAGTCACGGGTGAAGGATTGTATGATGGGCTCGGTTGGATCGCCCAGAAGGTTACCGGTAAAGCCCCGAGTTAGAGAGCTGACAAGAACTTGATCTGAGAAACCAAGATTCTTGTTTTACTGCTCTGGTTATAGTCCATTCCATTCTCTCTTTTATGTATCAGGCTTCAACTGTTTGGCTACTCTGATTGAATTGTATGTTTTTGTCTATCAAAATCTAACCCAAGAAGGAAAGAGATGGTATTCTCTGGTATCATCAGTTCTTGTACTTCATGCAAATTTCAAGACATGTGGATCCAAGGTTCTCGTCCTTTTTTTTTCCATGTTTGGATCATCTCAAGGGCTTGATATAGAAGATTGAATGTAAGCAGATGACATGAATCCCTGTGGCTGTAAAAAATCTGCACAAGTAAATCATTTGAGGCCAATTACATCAAATCTTCTCTGCTCAGAACTCAAACAAGGTAAAAGAAAAAAAACTTTGGAAATCGCCGAGGAAACAATGTGAACAAACTGGAAACTTTCCGGGGAACAAAAATTGTTAAAGGGAGAAAACGTCGTCAAAGAATGGAGCATCCACAGTTTTTTGGTTCTTGAGGTCCTTCAAACCATCGATCCCACATCTGATTAACTGGACCTGTTGTTCTGCAAGTTGAATCACAAACTGCAAAATCAGAAAAAATCTACTGACAGTTTGGACATTGAGATTCCGAGAAACTGAAGAGAAAGGCCGAAGAGATTGAATTACTCGGGAAGAAGAGGGTCGGGTTTGTTGTCCACACTGTCTAAGAACCTGCATACACGAAGAAACGAGTTCATGATTACAGAAGGATATTCGTCTTGACGGGTGAAAACGAAAGCCGGGTTTTGCGTATGAGAAGTACTTACTCTTGGCACGACGTTGATGCTCTCTCCATCTTCTCGAGCTGCTCCATCTCTTCCTGTGCATTAAGGTACACATGGAAATCAGTGGGAAGATAAATGCTTTTTGCAGCCAGAACAAAATTTACAGAAGTGTGGCTATGGCTATGGCAAGGGGGAAAAAGCCAAACTTTTCTGGCATCATGAATCTTAGATGCCAAAAGACCAAGTATAAAGTTCATGAGTGTCAAAAATAAAAACACAAGTGATGCAATGCAAGGTTGAACCTCGGGATCAAGATGTATAAGTCTGCAAGTAGTGCATGTTTTCTTGTTTTGCTCCATTTTATCATCTAATAGTAGTGACCGTTTCTTCTACTAGCAAACATTTTCGTCAAGAACAAGATATTCTATCGATCCTCAACCGGGTTTTGCTTTGAGCTGTATACCGTACGTTAACGTATAATCATCAAAGACGTACCAAGGACGGTGTTTTGGAACCAAACCAGTCATTTTCCATGTTTCTGGTTTCGGTAATTCCTGATTGAGACACGGAGAACCGAAAGTATAGCTAAGCACACAAATGCTATTATAGGAAAAGATCACCGTCGTCTCCATTACAGTACAGAAAGTTGCCCAATTTCGGTTAAATCATAACCATCAAGGCTTTGGAGCTCTGAGATCTAATGCTATAGAGCTTCCAAGAACAGAAGTAATTAGAGAGGAGATAATCAAATGATTATAGAAAAGTTTGATCGACTTCACTAGCTTATGATATTTTTTGATGAAATTTCAAATGCAACCAGCTCTTGATGAACCTGGTCTGAAATTCTCTGGTTCGAGAAGTTGAAAGCCAGAGGGCATCAGAACGAGGTTGTTCAAGAAATGAGATTTCCTGAAAACACTTAGCATCCGAACTCATCGCCCAAAATCTAACAAATCGGTGACTTTCATCACCTGCTCAGAGAATCAAATCCAAAACCCTAAATCAAATCAAACCCTTGATTATTTCTTCAGGAAAGTTTAGACTTTTCACACGAGATCAATAGTATTTCATATATATACTATTCCCTCCAAAACCAGAGAACGGAACGAGAGCAAAGCGAATGGTTAATCCAACACTGTAATTCGGAGATATATCTACAAGGCCATGAAACAGCAAACCCAATCCAGATTATCAGATTATAAGCAAAACCAAATCAATCCCAAAAGGAAAAAAAACAGAGAAAAAAAGATCGGAGAATACCTCTAAGAATCTAGCTTCTTGTTCGAGCCGTTTGAGTTCAGCTTGTACCCGATGCTTGCCTCTCGTGTCAGCGACTCGCCCTGAAAGCTGACCCGACGACTCGGAACTACTCGGTTGCATCACGTATTGACCGACCACCAATCCGATTCGAACCCAAAAATAAAGCTCAACCCTTTTCTTGAAACATAAGGAAAAAAAGAGGGGGGGGGAGGGGGTTAAAGATTTACTCAGAAGAAAAGAACACCATTAGAGATAGGAATTCAGAAATCCTCATACCGGTCTGAACCAGAGACAAGGCTCGACAGAAAACAACAACATACGGATCTCTTGCGTTTTCAGATTGGTTATTACACCAGCAAGAGAGAGAGAGACTCTTCAGCTTATCAAAAAAGTTCTGAAAAAGTTTTCGAATTTTTTAGTTGGATGGCCTCGGCTTTGCCCTCTGATTACCGAAGGGGTTGATGAAAAGTTTTTGAGATTTTGAAAGAAAAGTCGAAGTGAAAAAAAGAAACACTTTTTAGTTCTTTACAAAAAAAAACACACTTTTTAGTTGTATTTGCTGTCTTCTGTGGAATTTGAAAGCAAATTTCTACAATTTTTGTTTTATAAATAATAATAATAATAATAATAATAATAATATTTTTGTTTTTGTCTCTTCCGGAAAGTCGCGTTGATTATGCAGACGCGGACTCGGCTTCGTGCACTCCAAACGTGGGCCTGCTTGAGCCCAATGGCAGAGTTGTAATTTCTAATCTTCTTTTCCTTATTTATGCACTGTAATATTTTCTTTCGCTGTGGTTATATATAAACTAATACAACGGACTTTTATTTTTCTAACACCGAGAAAAAAATAAAAAAAATTTCGGATTGATTATTTTGTATTTAGGTATTAAATTGGGATTTATTGTGGATTGATTCTTTTACATTTATTGGATTTTGAGTGGTAAACCACCTCCTCATGTTGTGGCCGATCAGCCAAAGACGACGAAAACAAAGCGCGAGTCAAAGGTGAGCGTGTGGTACACGCGCCATGTTCTAATACGTAGAACGCGTGGCGTGATTTCTATTTCTAGGTCTGATGTTTGACTCCTATGGGTGACACGTGTCAACACCACATTCCTTTTCCGGGTTTGCGGCTCCAACACGGCCTGGAAAAAAATGTTTCGTAGCCCATTTAAGGTAAAGGGCCAAATTGGGCCGCTTATGTCACTGATATGCCCATTTCTATAAATAATCTTGTTGGTTTTGGTATAAATAAAATTGATCACGAGATCTATGTGATACACTAGTTGTATATATAATTTATTTACCATATGCCATAAAAAAATTAAATTGGTTTTCTAAATATTTTAAAAAAATCTATAAAAAATATGTATATTTAGTATGATAGTTTACATTTTTTATGGGGTTTATTTTTTGAAAAATACAATATATATATGTTTTGAACTATTCCTTTTTTTCCCTTTTGAAAACATCTTCTTCTAGTTTTAAGCCTAAAGTTCAAATATTATTTATTTTTGGAAATTTAATGAGATTATGGTTCAAGATCTTATGGAGCTCCAGAATCTTATAATGATTTACCAAGCAAGAAAGGAATATTTCGTAAACCGGTTAATAAAGGAGGCGTATGATGCAAATATAAATCTTTCGGGGTTGAAACGTGAAATAACACAAATGTAGGACCTTCCTACGTGTCAGGTTAACATGATAAGATACCTGAAAAGGCCACGTGGCAGGCTGTTAGTTTTTAAAAAGTGGTTTGGGTGTCCGTAAAGAGGGCGACAAGCATAAAACTCACCTTCGATTACACGCAAAATTACTAACTTTACCACTCGAACCAAGAAATATTTTTAAGAAATTAATTATCAAAAAAAGAAAAAGAAACAAATACATAAAGAAGAGAACAAAGGAGTGTTACAGTACCTCGCTCCATTTCACCCGCTCATTCAGAACCGCAAAGGACTATTCCCGAGAAAAATCTTCAGAATCCCGACGAAGATAATGGCTTCCCGCCTCTGTGTTCCCACACGCGCCGAATGGATGATAGACCTGAAATATGTACAGCAGAAGCCACAATAAACTCTCTCGTGATCTCTCCGTCACCGGAGAACCGGAGGAATCGGAGAGGTAGGAGTGGCCCGAGGACGCTTAGGGTTTCGAATGACGGAGGTGAATCGTACCTCCACATGTGGAAGAACGCCGTCGATCGCGAGAAAAAGGAGAAGAACTTCCAGAGAATCTCCGAGAATCCGGGCGGCGACGACGGAGACGGCAGGAAGGGCGAAGGCGACTTGGAGAGGAAGAGGGTGGAATTCCAGAGGCTTCTGGGGGTTTCTCCGGGG